TTTTTTTCTAAACTATAATTGATGGAAATGTCCAATATGCGCAACCATGATCAAATGCGAATTGTAACTTGGTTGCGCAAATAAGGTCTTTCCATCAATTATAGTTTAGAAAAAAGAGGCTGATGCTTTGGCCTGATGCATATTATTGCAGTATTGCCGCTTTTATTACGTACCTCGAGCAGCCCCAATGTCTACATACCGTACTATGTCCGCTCTCCAGTCTGTGGCGGCTCATGCAGAAGCAGAGCGTTGCACAGTGGTCTGAATAGAGAATCTAGCTGGACAAAACTATTTTAATAGATTGGCGTTTATGAATTTGTACCCGACTTCGTATCTACTAGTTTATGGGGCCACTGATTACAAATCTTCACTGAGGTTTCAAAAATCTATTATGGCTGACAAATTTTAAAAAATTTATTGAATTCGCTCTAAACTTGTTACTTGGGGGTTTATGAAAAGTGAAAATAATTTTATGGGTGTCGCAAAAGCGCGTAAAAAGAGTTTATTTTGACTTATATAGCCAACACTTCACAGAATTAGATTTTATGAAACGAAACTCAGCGGAACTATGCTGTGAAATCATTTAAATTTTTAAATCGTGAAATATCCACAAGTTGATTTCATTCTGTTTTGTTTTATTTGGTAGTGGGGCTTTTATTTTTTCCATCTACAATCATTACAAAAAATAAAGTGATTTCGCACAGCAAGGTGCTAAATGCCTGAATGAGAAACAGAGAATGCGGAGATAAAAGGAATTCAATACTGAAATAGCCTCCAGCCGGATCCCGATCATTGCCCACGGAAACACAGCACATATTCGAAGCAATCGAGCCAGAGTTGCCACTTTGATAAATTGTTAACAAAATTGGTAGAATAAATTTGGGTTGGTAAAAGGTAAATTTTTTCTTATTTTGAACTGTCAAACTTTGTACGGAAATCTATTTAACCAAAGTTATCACTTTATCAAATGATTTTGGTGGATAAATGTATAAATATCAGCAAAATTCAACCTTGACAGGTTGCCAGGTGGTCGCTTTTGCTACGAAAACATAAAAAGCAAATGAACACACTGGACGCGGTAAGAATGAAACGTAACTATTCATAATATAAGTTAAATATAAACAATTTTATGCAATGAAAGAATGCAGATAAACAGATAGACTTAAGCAATTAATCTCTTTATAACTTTACATGAAGACCCAACCCTATTGTGTAATGCACATAGAAAATCTATGTATTTCTTCATGCAATTATTTTCATCATAATTTAGTACGATTATCTACATATTTCGGGATGGCCCGAACATGGTAACTTCATCAAAATGTTTGTTTGTTTCAACCACTTTTCGACAGAAAATTTTAAGCCTCGTGACGGATGTGCCCAATCTAAGCGAAACGCAGCAACGGCAGCAGTAGAGCGAGTAGTTTATCTGTCTAGTTCTCTAGGAACTAGGAAATTTTTTTACCTCCGTCTTCATGACTGTTCATATTTCCACTAAAGAGGATCCAAATTAAAGCAACAACCTAATATCTAAATTTCTTAAAAGACCAGATATAATAATATTTCATGTAATGCTAAATTTTTTTGCAGTAAGGTAATTTAAGGTATTTAAATCAATACACACTTATTAACTGCTCTGCTAATACGATGAAATAAGAAAATTTACCTTTCGTATTATTATTTTTAATGTGTAAAAAAATTCCTTAAAAAATATTAAAATTTCCAAAATAATAATTTGTTGAGGTGGCAGTGCTACTTGAGAAATTTCCGAAAAGTAAAAAAGAAATTTATTTCATAAGCACATTTTATCAGGGACATAACAGCTATGTCTTATCGGAAAAACGTTGTTCCATAACAGTTATAAGATGAGAAATATTTTTTACCTCGCCGATAAGAGTTATATATAACCCAACGTTTACTTTTTACGTTGCCTGATAACAGTTATGCAGGAGGAATATGTTTTCCGTCGCCAATAAGAGTTATTTCCCAACGTTTATTTTTTACGTTGCTTGATAACAGTTATTACCCAACGTTTATTTTTTACGTTGCTTGATAACAGCTATTACCCAAAGTTTATTTTTATGTTGTCTGATAACAGTTATTTCACTAACAGGCCCAGGGTCCTTTTCTCAGCTCCCAGGTTCTGCCGGCTGTCGACTTGATATTTTTTCTGGTACGCAGTTTATTTCATGTGGCGGTGGTATGCGCCGAGAAGGAGAAAAGGCTATCGAACGTGACTCCCAATAACTTGGAAGCATTCACGCTCGGTATTTTTGCGAAGTCAACATACAGGTCCAGTTCTAGCCTAACCTCGGTCCACAGTAAAACTGCGGATGTTTCTGGCAGTGACGATTGGAAAGACCGTTTAAATTCTCCGAGCACTCCGGAACTCGACAGGTCAATCGAGACTAGAACCGTCCAATCACAAAGTAATCGTTGGTTCAGATGAGGGCGTAGGCTAGGCTTTATTTCCAGAATACGGAACCAAAGCTGTTTTAAAACACTATAAAGCATCCTATTCTCTACTTACCTGTAATGCTGATGGGCTCGCAGAAATAATCTCTGAAGCTTCCTTCAATGCCCGCGATGACTTCATTTCACCTTCAGCCGCGATCACTTTTGCGCGCGCCTCCCGAGCTGCTTCGGCTTCGGCTGCCATGGCGCGCTGTAAAGCGGTTGGTAGAGATACGTCCTTGCTGAAGGAAAAAAATATACAAAAAAAAAACGTATGTAATTTCCGTCTCTAGAGCTAACCACAAAAAATTACATTTCTACACGTTCGACTTTCACTCCCCACGGATCGGTTGCTTCATCTAGCGATACTTGCATTGTATGCGAAATAGTTTCGCGCTCCGTCAACAGTTCGGACAAATTTCGGGTACCTAGCACATTGCGCAGTGTTGTGGCAGCTAGCAAACGCGTTGAGTGGCTATAATTGGACACTTGTATTACAGCTTTGAGAGGATCGCTGATGCGATAATAAACTACTGCATCTACAGTCACAGTAACCGAATCCTTGGATAACACTTCTTGTGGTGGCACATCAAACGAAACTGTACGAAGATCCACTTTGCAATAGTCATCTACGCAGGGTAGCACGAAGAAGACGCCAGGACCACGAGCGCCACCACTGCGTAGCCGACCCATGCGAAAGATTACGGCACGCTCATATTCAGAGACAACTTTGAAGCACACAAATACGGAGATGGGAAAGGTGAGTACCATAACAATGATGGAAATCGCTGTTGCGATTATTTCGACGCAGCCCATTTCGTCATTCTCTGCTATGGGGGAGAGAAAAGAATTAAGTTTATTTTTTTATTTTTTGTATGTACACTGCCGGAACAAAGTATTGGCACAGCAATTTTTTCTCAATATATGCAACAATTTTCATTCTAATATTATTCCGCTAATTTCGTGTAAAAATATGGTTCATTCTACAACAAAAAAACATAAAAATATAATTACTAAAATTTGTGCAAAACTCGCGAAAATTCAGCAAATTTTCATGAAAATTTTCAACTTTTCAATCATATTTTTAGAATTTTTTTGAGTATGCAGGTTTGTAGGCCAATCAATTTTATTATAATAAAGTGCTAGGAATTACCGTTGATTTTTGGCAATTTTTTTTCCGTGCTGTCTCTTCCATACAAATCTTTTTTTTTTCGAAAATACTTTATATGGAAAAAATAAAAAAAAATCTTAAAAATCAACGCGATTTTTTGCTAACTCCGAAATTGCATTTTTTTTACTAGAATTTAATGCGCTGCAAAACTGCATACTCAAAAAAATTCTAAAAAATCTGATTAAAAAGTTGAAAATTTTGATGAAAATTTCCTGAATTTTCGCGAGTTTGGCACAAAGTTTGGGAATTATTTTTTTGTTTTTTGTTTGAGTGAACCATATTTTTATACAAAATTGGCGGAAAAATATTAGAATAAAAATGGTTGCATATATTGAGAAAAATTTGCTGTGCCAATACTTTGTTCCGGATGTGTATTTAATTCCTATGCATGAGTACGATTTTAATTTTTTTATGCATATACATACATATGTTAGGGATGAATGTTAGTTAACGGGATTGTTGCTGACTAAAAAATTATATTAAATAAAAAAATTTAAGGGCGGTATTGTCACTTGCGAAGCGAATGAATTTGGCGAAGCGAACGGTTTGGCGAAGCGAATGGATCGGTGGACGCAACTTAAATATACATTAAGAGTGTTCTCTTTTACCAGCATGTGCAAGTTCGTTGCATCGCGAACACTTTTAATACCTTCTCTTCCTTTTAATTCGCTTCTCCAAACCGTTCGCTTCGCCAAAATCATTCGCTTCGCAAGTGATAATACCACCCTAAATGTGCAGCCAATTAGGCATTTCCATACGTCCATAAGGGTGTAGTATGTATGCGCACACATACATATCGTTAGCTTAATATACATCCCAACAAGCAAAATAAACTTAAATAAAGTTTTTTTTAAGTTTTCAATTATAAACATTAAGCTTACAAAACGTTGATTTTTTGTTTATAAAACGCTTGAAAGTAAGCATAATATAATCGAAAAGGAACATTGGTTATAAGCGTAGAAATATAAACTTGTAATAAATGTTCAAAAGAAAGCTTTTTATAAGCGTAAAAGTGTAAACTTATAATAAAGGTTCAAAAAAAGTTTTTTATAAGCGTATCAATATAAACTTACTAAAAATTTTCAAAAGAAAGCTTTTTATAAACATTTTTATAACCCTTTATTTAAAGATATTTCATTAAAAACTCATACATAGATTGCTTAACATCTAGAAACTAAACGAAATGCGAATTTTCGGCGGACTCATCTACAGTCGCGAAAATATAAATAGGGAATAGACATTTTAGCATACAAATTCACAATAACACATACAAATTAAGCATAAAAAAGTTAATTATTACATCTTGTTGCGTGCTTTCAATTACTTGCGGTTATTGGCAAATTGGAAAAGGGACATCGATGCAGCTATATATTCCGCTTCATCGCCGCCATTCTCATTGATGAACTTTTCTGAAAAAAATTTAATACATTTTTAATTGAATGTTAAACTAAGAAAGGATAAGGGGAACTCATCATTTGAAGACTCGAATGCTCCACCGATTAGCGCAGCGGGTCCTGGATTGGATTTTCTTGTTTTACCGCATTGGTTTTATTTAATTTTTTCTTTTAATAATATATTTTAAAAAACGTAAACACGTCACTTACGATTGAAAAAATTTTATATTTACTACTTCATGTCGTTGGCATTTACATTTCATTTATAAGTTTAAGTTATTTATAAACATTCGCTCTCAAAACTTATTAAAGGTTTATTTGAAAAAACTTTTAATAAGCTTAATATTAAAAATGCTTATTTAACGCTTATTATAGCAAACTTAATTTAAGTTATTTTTAAAAACGTTTACTGAAATGCTTGTTGGGATAGAAATGCACTATCTAACATTTTTATTTCTTCGTAAAGTAATTTTTTAAATTTATTAAAAAGTAAAGTTCTCTAGTTGCAAATTCTATTCGAATACTGTTTTTTATAGTGTTTTCTTTTCTCAAAACAACTTCTGCCCTTTTATATGGGAACTCTTGCTTTGCGTTGCCCTGAAACCTCAGAAAATGTTACGTTCTTTATATAAGAATGAAACAGAAATTATACTACTCCATCACAATTTATTTATAGAACTTAATAAAGCTGAATCATTCACTTGGCCTGTAAGTCTTTAGTAATTTTAAAGCAAAACACTTACTTCTGATACGGAAAGTAATTGCATTTTTACAAGCGTAAATTAAAAATCTACCGAGCAACTCTAACCCTCACGTTTATTTGAGGGCTGAAAAGGCAGCACTTTTGCCGGATCAGAGCGCAACCTGCTGAGAAAAGAACACGACGCCTTGTGAAAGGGCTGAGAAAAGAACATGAAAATTTGACAGCGCTAACACAAGGCAGAATAAGTGCAGGCTTTTTTCGAGAAAAGAAAACGCTATTAATTAAGGCTGTATGTATATAATACTGCGATTTTTATATTCTATTAGATGGTCAGTGAATAACCTGGCGACTTTTCTACAAATGTGGATTTCAAAATAAAATAAGTTATGGCCTTGCTATATTAAGTAGATAGATAGATAAATAATTTATGAGGTATGCACTGCGACCTAATGATCTATTGTGCCCTCCACTCTTCACAATACTTCCTCCAAGCCAAGATCCCCCAGGAAGTCCCAAAGCTTCTTTGGGGAAAAGGAGTGAATGTGCTCTAACTGTGGCCACATGGAGCCAAACTCCTCTCACGTCTTCTGCTGACTGCATCACACTCAATGAGGATGTGGAGTGGCGTTTCACTGGAGACGTTGCAGAACCGGCAAAGGTCATTCGGTCGTAACCCCAGTTTATACATATGCCCTCCCAGTCTGCAGTGTCCTGTAAGAAAACCTGTTAATATTCTCAGCCTCTCCATTGGGAGGCTAATTAAACTTTTGAATCTACTCTTGTTGTACCCTCCTAGCAGGCTTTTTGCCTGTCGCATACCTAACGAACTCTGCCTGTTCGAGTCCCTCATATTGTACCTCTCCTCCCTGAGCTTTTCCTTAATAGTGTTGGGACCCACACCCAGGAAGGGCTCAGGGCCAATTGGAGTAATGGCTGCCGCCTCTCTAGCGAGACAGTCCGCCGCTTCATTCCCCTCCATTCCCATATGGCCAGGCACCCACGCCAGTTTGACGTTGTTGTGCCTACCAAGGGAGTTGAGCCTCACTATGCACTCAAGGACTAGAGACGATTTAATTTCGAAGGATAACAGAGCCTTGAGTGCCGCCTGACTGTCACTAAGAATTACAATCCTCTCATTACGGTATCCTCTATTAATGATGGCCTCCGCACACAAGTAGATGGCGTACACTTCAGCCTGAAATATGCTCGGATATTTCCCCATCGGGATAGAGATCCTGGACCTAGGTCCGGAGATACCAGCCCCTATTCCTTCCGGGGTCTTCGAGCCATCTGTGTACCACTGCAGTGTACTATCCTGAAGGAGTCTCTCAAAGGAGGAGGCACTCCAGGTTGTCTTACTGCTTAACTCAATTTTAAACCTCTTTTCAAACCTTATGGTTCTAAAAATGTCAACCCTCGGAAGCAAGGCTAGCGGGAGCCAGGACCCTAGCTTCGCCATGTTCCTAGAGGAAATGACCTTCCCTCTTCCATGACCCTCTCTAGTGAAATTGAGCAGAGTTCTTTTGGCCGCCAATTCTATAGTTATGTACAGGGGCTCGAGTTCAAGGACCACTTCCAGCGCTGTCGTCGGACACGTGCGCATCGCTCCCGTTATGCATACACATGCCAGTCGTAAGTACATAAAAACATAAATATGTATTGCTGTACGTATGAATGTGCATTTTGATCATGAAACTCAAGCAGACTACTAAAAAATGGACAAAAAAAATGAACATACTTGAATATATCGCTAGAATTACTTTATTAATTACGTATTTAGTCTGTACGCCAATATTTACATATGTATGTGTTTTATTTTAGTATGTTCGGTATACATACCTACAACATGTTCACATATGCTAAACACATTCTTAGTTCGTATAATTTTTTTCTATGATCTGCTTATATGTATTTCAATTATTCTTTAAACTAAATTGATTTATGTATGTAGGTACTTATATAGCAATTAAAATAGTATTTACGTCAGTAGAGAATCAAATGCATATTGAAATCGTTTTAATACAAATTCATTCTGTAATTTTTTTATTTTTATTTTTTTTTAATCACCGACATTTTCAGCCTCTTAAGAAATTTAAACTCGCTTACTAAATACCAAAGCCAGCAAACATCTTGGTTGTATTAATTCCACAAAAAGCTATAAACTTATTTGGCCACTAACAAATATTTCCATAAACGCGCCTAAATACTCAGATGTTCAAATTCAATTCCAGTAGAGTTCGCATGCAGGATACGTGCGATTACAGATCGTCGAAAGGATGCTGCGTATACGAAAAGGACATTCATCAGGCGAAATAAATGATTTTCGGTAATTTTATTATGCATAAATATTTGTGGTGTCTGTTATATAAATTATAACTCCGTTTTACTGTTTATAAAAGTAGCCTTGCATTTTTAGTAAAGTTCATTTTACATGGAAGAAAATGCCTAGTACCGTCAGCCAAAAAAATTATTAAAAATCAACGCGATTTCCTAGTGCCTTAATTTTTACCTACTTAAATTTAATGGGCTATAAAACTGCAGAATTAAAAAAAAAGTTTAAGT